TCACTATTCAGAAAATTTTGCATCATTAAAAACTAAAGCTATTCTTTGAAAAGTTCTTAGCTACATCCTGGTGTTCATTATATCAACATAGAAACAAAGTGTCTAAAGTGAGTCAAACAGCTAAGTATAAAAGCACAGAGAAAAGTTACACTTTAGCTTCAAACATTCATAGTCTTCAATAAAGATATATTAATGGAGATAAAATTTACAGATAGTGTAGTGCCCAGACTTCAAGTGCACATTTGGATGTGTTTTGACAAGTGGAGACACCCACGTAACCACACATCAATCCCTCATTCTCGTCCACCACCCGACTCAACCACTATTCTGATGTCTTTCACCATCCATTAGTTTTGGTTGCTTGTTTTAGAACTTCACAGAAGTAGAATCATACAATTCATGTTCTTTTGTGTCTGGCTTACTTTGCTCAGTGCTGGGTTTTTAACAAATTTTCATCCATGATGTTGTATCATTGTGCCAATTCATTTTATGATTGAGTAGTATTTCACTGCATATATTTACAACAATTTGACTGTGCTGCCAGTGGAAATGCAGTTTATCTTCAGATACTCTTAAAATTGAAAATGCTATGAACACTCATTACGATTCTTTATGTCCACATAGCTGTGAAACTGCTTTGCCATATGTTTACTGGGTAATTAACTTTCTGAAAAACCGCCAGATTGTTTTACATCCCCACCAGCAATTTATAAGTTTAGTTTGATCCGTAACTCTGCCAGGATGTGGTATTGTTAGCCATTTAATTTTAGTCATTCTTGTATTTGTGTGGCATATTTTCCTGATATTATGCATATTCATGTCCTTGTTAGTCATTCTTATATTTGTGCAGCATATTTTCCTGATATTATGCACATTCATGTCCTTGTTAGTCATTCATGTGTCTTCTTTTATGAAGGGTCTGTTCAAATATTTTGCCCTTTTTTACTGAGCTGTTGATCCATTCTCCCCTAATTGAACTATTTTAAAACAAGCCTCAAATCAATGGGCTCTACAAATGTGGGTCTATTTCAGGATTGTCTGTCTGACAGCTTTCTGGTAAATTCTCTAGGATTTTCTATGTTGACCCTAAACAAAGTTTTGTGCCTTCCTTTAAAAGAGTAGAACAGCATGACTGCAATGGCTCGGCCCTTCAGTACAGTGCTAAACAGATATGAGCAGAGAACGTCCCTGCTTTATCCGCCGTCTTGGGGGGAAACAGTCTTCCATCACGGGGTACATCCACAGGCTTTCTACAGAAACCTTTATCATGTTAAAGTTTTCTTCTCTTCCTACTTTGGTACAGGTTTGAGAAGTCATTTGTAGGTGGCAAATTTTGCCAATTGCCTTTCCACATATACTGAGATCATGTGTGTTTTCTTTATAAATTGTTAATATGGCAACTTGTATTGATTAAGAATTTTAAAACAATTTTGTATTCCTGGGATAAAGCTCACTTGATTATCACTGTTAGTTTTATACAGAATACACATTTTAAGAGATGGTATCTATGCATTACTTTTTGAAGTTGACTTGAAGGCCTGGTTACTGGTCAGTGCCTGGATGGGCTACATATCCATCTCACCTACATTGTGTAACTTTTGGGGAATGGTCAATTTTATTTCCAACAAGATCTCTTAAAATTTGTGTACGTTGTTTGGTACCCCCTTTATTTCTGGATTCCATTTCCTAATATCTAGTAAGGATACTTACTTTTATGTTCATGAGAGATGCTAGTCTAAGTTTTTATATATTTTTCTTGTAATGCCCTTGTCTGGTTTTGACACTGGGGTAACACTGTCCTCATTAAATGAATTAATAATAGTTCCTTACTTCTCTGTTTTCTAAAGAGTTTGTGTAAGAGTAGCATCATTTCTGCTTTAAACATATGAGAGAATTCACTTGGCCCTGTAGTATTTTTTGTGGTGAGGTTTATGATTGTAAATATAATTTATTTGATCAACAGAGAGCAATTTAGGTTTTTCTATTTCTTCCTGAATCAGTTTTGGTAATTGGTATCTTTCAAGGAATGTATATGTATAATATAAGTTATCAGCAAAGATTTTTTTCATGGTTATATTTACATATACATTATTTAATTATTGATATATATAGCTTTCATTTTTCTGTTGAAATCTCCTATTTCCGCCCTTATTATTCCTATTTCATTTAATTTTTTTTAACATGTTTATAATCACTGCTTTGATACATACATGCTAATTCCACTAGCGCTGTCATTTCTGGTTCTATTTCTACTAACTGATTTTCTCCTCCGGTTATGAGTTACACATTCCTGCTTCTTCCTGTCTCCTAACTTCTAGCTGAATACTAGACGTTAATGGTGTGTTGCTGAGTTTCTGTACCATGTTTTCCAGAGGCAGTTGATTCAGTTACAAATCAGAAGATTCTCTCCAGGATTGTTGCATATCTCCGTCCACCTCCACTTCGATGGCTTCAGTGCTTCCTCCACTCATGTCCAAACGCAACGTCTTCCCGTCCACCACAAGCCTCGCTCATGTTTACCTAATTCTTCTTAGAGATGCCATTTTCACATCTCTCTGTTTTTTACATTATCTGTGTGCTCATCCACTTCTGAAATACAGGAGTTACCTCTATTCCTATGTGTGGGGGATTCACTGCATTCAGAGTCCAAAATAAGCGGCCTCCATCTTACCACCCTTACCACCCTGTAACTGTTTTTCCTCCTGCTGTGACTCATAAATTAACAACATGCTATGAATCTCCGAGCCTTAGATGTAATGGACTTTCTGGCCTACCCATCAATAGTTGCTTTGTGAACAGTTACAAAGTGAACATATGTAATTATTACCTGAGTAAAGTAAAAATGCTGGAAGGGCCTAAAACCACATTTTCCATACTTCCCTATTGATAGTCTGAGTATGTTGCAGGCTAAATAAATCCATTCACAAAACACTGACTGTAGTTGAAACTAAGCCATGTGGTGAGGGAAGCAGAACACTGAACATGCGTTTGGCGGCTGAACATCAACACAGAATTCTGTTTTTCTGGACCCCAAGAAGAAGGAGCTTCTTGACTCCATAGGCAGTTTTCTGGTCATCATCAAAGGCAGCCTAATTCTGCTGTGTGGCTGTGAGAGTTATTCACGAAAAGTATAGCCTAGTGTCTCCTTTTTAACCCTCCCCACAATTTCACAGCTATTCATGACTCTTTTCTACTTAAATTGACTACAGTGGTTTCTGTTGTCTATTGTGAAGGATATTGAGTAATAATTTCATTGCCTTTAAACAATACTAACATCTTGAAGGGTTAAGAGGACTGATTGGGGCAATTCATATAAAGCACTTAACACATACACCTGCCAAGAACTAGTTGTTATGCTATTATTGTTATTTTTCTTATTAGTATTCTAAAGTAACTTAATAATCTAAACACCTGGGTCTGAATTATGCCTTTAGCCTGTGTTCTTTCCACAATCTTGCTCAAGTTGTTTAAACACTGCAAGGTTTGATTTTTTTTATTTGAACTAGGCCATTTTACATATATAAACTATAAAAAAAGTATAACTACTTCATGAAGCTATTTTGAAATTAAGTAAGAATATATAAATAAAATTTTCTTTTCTGTACTTATTCTCTACAAAAAAAAATCTAATTGAATCAAACTCATTTTCTACATCACTTCTTCCTGGTGTTAAATGCCAAGACTGCACCCTGTTTCCTCAGAATCCTCAGTGCACCTCTCATTAAATAACATCCCAGTAACAACCCAATGCCTTGCATTCTATTATACACTGGTTATTCAATCCAAATCCATTTTTCAAGGCTTTCCTTTTCCATAAAATATTTGTGGGGACTTGGGACCTACCGTGATCAGTTCCTTGACCTTGGAACTCCTACAAATAGCTCCAAGCATTTTAACACCTTACTCTTTTCCAATTAATCAATGTGGCTTATTTCTCTTTCCTTGAGATCAGTGACAGTGACTTTCTTTTTTAATATCTTACAGAGCTCTTAAGAGAGTCCAGCATTTACTAGTCACTTGAAAAATTGCTGACTGGATGATATACCATAACACACTGGATTTAATTAGACTATATATTTTCAGAATATTCCATTAAATGTAGAGAAATGAAATCTAAGTACTCGATTAAATGCCATACATATTTTTTCTTATTAAACTTCTTTCTCTCTACCAAGACATTTCTATGTGTCTCTGATATCCTTTAATGTGCTTTTTCATTCTACTATAGAGATGTCAAGATTATTAAATGATATAACAAAGTGAACATATGTAATAAACCAGCATCGATATTAAAATGTGGAAATAGCTTATGCTCCTTCTATACATTTTCACCAGTGTTGTATGATTAAAGGGCTCAGTGCACTGGTTTTCTATCATGCCTGTTCATTGGAATTGCCTGTTCCATTTCAGCACTACTGACATCTGCCTGCTACCCCAGAAACTCCCACTTAACTGAAATGGCACAGTGCTTGGCAACAGGAGACTTAAAAGTTAGCCAGATGATTCTCCTGAGTAATTAGGGATAAGAACCACTGGTAGGGGCGGTGCCTGTGGCTCAAAGGAGTAGGGCGCCAGCCCCATATGCCAGAGGTGGCGGGTTCAAACCCAGCCCTGGCCAAAAAAAAAAAAAAGAAAACCACTGTTAGACCCACTGTCCATCCAGGATCCTCCACAGGTCACTTTCTGTTCATTTCTTTGTGGTAGGAACATGCTACTTATCTGGAGAACTGCAGGGCTTTCATCTAAGCACTCCTTGGCTGTGACCAACGGCACCTTTATACATATACTCAAGTAAGAACAGTAAGATGGATTCATTTTGAAAACTATTTTCTACACCATCTTTCTGTAATTTCGGTAGGTAGTAATAGCACCCACCTACATTACAGATCAGGTAATAAGTACAATGTCAGCTTGGCAAGAAGTGGGAGAGGAAAGGGAAAGGAAGGAAAGCCTGTCGCCACGTTAGCTAATAACGAGCTACGCCTCCCAGCTGCAGGTACCTGAGTGACAGCTCCCAGACCATCAGCAAAGCTGTTTACTTCTGACAGAAGCAGAGAGATAATGGATTTTCTCAATGACTTGCAGCTTCCCAGGATTACCAGACTATGAGAGACGTAATGCTGCACCTGAAACTAAAGATAAAAATGTGTAAGTTTCTACTTTTTATCAAGTCAACTTGAAATGTGTTTAATGGCCATTTTCTAAGACTTTACTACTGAGCTAAGTGCTGAGGGGAGTACAAAAGGTTTGAACAAAATTCTAGGTCAGGCTCTAGCAAAATTGTAAAAAGGAGGACACATTATAATAATATAGACACTCAAATTCTATATAGCAGTTAATATTTGGAAATGTGGGACACAGTGTGAAAATCAAGTTTTAGCTGAAGTAGCAAAAGATAATACAGATGACAGACCATACGGAATGAAAAGAGGTGATGGTAAAACACGCTCACAGCCCCACCGACTAGACAGACGGATGGAAGGTGTAAAGGGACAGATACCCGCCAAAGGGTGAGAAGATGTGAAGATGTCTTGGGGGGAAATACTGGTGCTCTATGTGTCTCCAGCCACCAGCTGGAGAGAAACGTGTGGGAGCAACTTCCCTATCTGCCATAAAAGGAAGGAACTTTAGAATGATGAAAAAAAAAATGTGGGACGTTCTGAATTTTTTTTAGAGGCAACACAAGTACTAATCAGTAAATAAACTTAAAAGGTCAGTAGGAGATAGTAAAGTACATCCTATAATTATCAGGAGAGAGGCTATCTGATTATTAATTATGTTAAGGTCTATAGAACTAACTTGTAGCTGGAAGCTCATTAAATCTATTTTAAATACAGCTGGGAGTTGGGTGTGGCGGTTCATGCCTGTAATCCTAGCACTCTGGGAGGCTGAAGCAGGTGGATTCCTAGGGCTCAGGAGTTCGAGACCAGCCTGAGCAAGAGCAGGACCCTAGCTCTAAAATAGCAAAATTAGCCAGGCATTACAGTGGGTACCTATATTTCCAGCTGCTTGGGAGGCCAAGGCAGGAGGATCATTTGAGCACAGGAGTTTGAAATTGTTGTGAGCTGGCTGAGGCCACAGCACTCTAGCCTGGCAACAGAGCAAGATTTTGTCTAAAAAAAAAATAATAATAGTACATAAACACAGCTGGGAGAATAAAAGATCCAAGGAGGATCTCAGAACAAAGAAACAGTCATATACTTTGTCATTGTTCTGTAGGAGCTTAAATCATGCTGAGGAGACACTGCTTTCAATATTAAACAATGCTTTGTGCAAGTAGGAATATTTCCTCTGTATCTTTAGGATGAATACATTTGTTGATACTTCTCAAATGGATTTTTAATAATGCACATTAATTTAATTATTTTGTTTGAGAAAGAGCCTCACTATGTTGCCCTCAGTAGAGTACCCTTCCGTCATAGCTCACAGCAACTTCAAACTCTTGGGCTTAAGCAATTCTCTTGCCTCAGCCTCCCAAGTAGCTGGGACTACAGGCACCCACCATAACGCCCAGCTTTTTTTTTTTGGCCGGGGTGAGTTTGAACCCATCACCTCTGGTATATGGGGCTGGTACCTTACTCCTTTGAGGCACAGGCATCGTCCCTGGCTATTATTTTTGTTGCAGTTGTCATTTTTGATTTTAGCTGGCCGGGCTGGGTTTGAAACTGCCAGCCTTGGTGTATGTGGCTGACGCCCTACCCACTTAGCTATAGGCACCACCAATACCCATTAATTTTAAAAGTTAAATAATGACAATAAAAAAGTCAGTGAATTATAGACTTTAAAAGAAATGCCTATTATAAATCTGGATATGCATAACAGTAATAACAGTGTTTTAAAACAACTCATCAACTTGATGCTAAAACACATAGTTATTACCAAAAATCATAGATATCTGTAATTATTTATTAATACTATAATTGGCTAAGATTCACAACCTTAACAACTCCAGTACTACTCATCAGATATCAGCTTTTTAAATTTATACTCATCTAAGCTCTGAAGACTTCTGTTGGGTATTTTCCTGATGCTTTAATTGTGTACCTACCTTCTTCATGTCTAGTCTTTAGGGGATGACTTAAAGTAAACAAAAGCTCACAGTGAAATAAAACAGACTTTAGAGAGAGCAAACCAAACAATGCTGGCAGCGATCGGGTTAGCTTGCAGACCCTCGCAGCCCTGGATCCACTATTTCTTAGTTCATGCCACTAACTTTTTCAGCCTTTTATGGCTCAGTCTCCTCATCTGTAAAATGGTGACTGTGACAGTACCAGCTTCACAGAGTTTTTATGTGTATTAAGTCAGACAGTGAACATGCTTAACATCATGTCAGGCACCTCATAAGGACTCAATTAAGTGAAATGTTATAATTTAGAATGATACTATGAAAATGTTGACGCTTATATACATTTAATTCACTGACACTTGAAAAGTTAAATGCAATAAACAAAATCTATTTTTCTAGAACTAAAATACTAGAAAACACTGCTGAGAAAATTTCATCATAAAGAACTTTTCCATAGTCTATCTATAAACTGTCTCTCAATAAAACTGAAGCTCCCACAAAGACTATATAACCATTCATAGTGTTTAAAATCCTGTGGCTTCTATCCTTCCTCACGTTTTGACACCTGCCCTTTTATAAATACAAACTATAGTAGAACTTTTTAGAAAGGCTGATGTGTAGGCCAGGACTGACAACGATATTCTCTGTGAGGCTACTGTGGGGAAACCGCGGGAGAGGGCACTAAGGTGCTTCTGACTTTCTGAAGCATCTAGAATGACGTTTCAAACCCTTTCTTCTCCTATTATTCCACAATGAATGTGCATTTATTATACTAACTCAGAACCAACCAACCGAGGAGTGTCCCTTCTGGGAAGGTGACAAAGCAAGAAGGCATAAACCCCTCTTCCTACAAAGGCAACGAGCACGTCATGAAACTGAAATAACCAGAACATTCGGAACCCTCAACCATAGTGTAGACATACACCTTGCTTGTCAGTAAGAGTGACCACCGTAGGCAAGCAATTAATAGGCTGAAATATCCAGGCACGGACCACTGGAATTAACCCGTACATTAAGCAAACCAGCGTGAGCGAGGGACCTCGCTACCCTGCCACCCACTGCCCCTCTAGCAAGACAGCAACTCCAATCTGTGCTGCACAACAAAAGCTGTTTTTACAAACATCTTAAAATTTCAGTTCAACTAGAGTGAAAGCAAACACTTCAAATTCAATTGAAAGTAAGTCATAAGAAAATGTTCAAAGGCTCTCATTCAATAAACACACACACACGCCACACACAGGGTCTGTGCAGAAAGTATCCAGTCATGTGATAGAAACAGAGACATTAACTGAACACACAAGGACACCGTGCAGAGGCCACAGCCCCCCTCCCCTTCCACTTGGCACCCTGGGACCCCCCGCTCTCCTAGCATCTCTCCCGCTGGGCAGAACACTCTGTGGAAACCCTTCCTGGAACTGCCATCAGCTGCTCTGTCCTATTGTCCCGAATCTCACTGAAGGTCTGGAATCTCTTCCCTTTCATGTCCCGAATCTCACTGAAGGTCTGGAATCTCTTCCCTTTCAAAGGTGATTTTAGTTCTGAGAAAAGCCAGAAGTCACAGGGCACCAAATCTGGGCTCTAGGGAGGCTGAGTCACCTGGGTGATTTGCGTTTTGCAAAAAAACTTTGCATGGGACTTGACCACGGTGGACAGCTTGTGGGGATCACGCGGCCAATCACCAGCTGGCCCCAGCTGTGGCCTCTCTCAGCTGGGGAGGGGCTGAGGTCGTGCTCCTTGCTCACTGTCTGGCCTGGAGGATCGAACTCATGATGGACAACACCTTCCCTGTCACAGAACACGGTCAATATAATCTTGTTCTTGTGACTTTTGGTGCCTTCTGTAGGAGTGAAGAACCAGGCGTTTGCCTTTGGGACTATGGAGCCTTCATTCTGGTTCACAGCTGAGGACCCACAATTCATCTCCGATTCTGACCTACTTAGGAACTCTGTTCCATAGCAGCAGTCCGAACTAAGTCGTTAGCAAACGCAGGATGTCAGGATACTGCAGAACGTTAGGACACCTCTTCTGCTGTGGTGGCAGAAGCTGTGGAACACCTTTTGCCCTGACATGTTTCATGCCAAGATCTTGCATCAAAATCTCTGACATAGTAGCTTTTGGAATCCCCAGGTGAGGAGGTGCTGACTTCGACTGCCGCCCACACACTGTTCAGCACACTCAGGCGTTCTGCTTGTCGCAGGCCTCCTGGGACCCGCAGACCATTCCAGCAGATTCGCACCATCTGGGACGCCTTTGGGCCTCACTTTCATTACCGCTGCACTCCTTGCATAATCCCCTAAGCCTTCCGAATCATCTGAATCCTTTTTGCAAAGGATTAAAGTAACAACATACATAGCAGAAAAGAAGTTAGACCAGCAACATAATTACTTAAGAGAAACAATAAAATTGTGAGTCTTTGGTCTATCTTCAAAATATTGTGACAAAATATATATTAACTTATAACTGAGAGCCATCAGAACTAACCTCCAAGAAAAAAGAGAGAAGACATTTGTAAGGCATAAGATGGGAGTCAGAGCTCACTGACGGAATCCTAGTAAAGGGGCTTAAAAGGGAAAATAGCAGTAGGAATCTCTTTCTACTTGATATTCTCAAGAGGGAGGGCTATTTCCATTTTATTGTATCTAATTATTTTAAAGTTTTTAATAGCTAGGTTTAAATTTTATTTTAGTCTACCTTTAAGTAAAGCATATCCTGTCCTTGACATTAATGAGGATATAGCAAGAAAAGGAAAAGCATGCAGAAAAAATAGGAAAGCTCAAAAGAAAAAGAAAATTCAAGCTCAACCAGTGTATAGAGGAAGAAAAGAAAGTAAGAAAAAGTTCTTAAAGAATAAAATAGAACAAATGTATGAGAACCAATCCTCCAAACTCTAAGTAAAGTAATTCCCTAAAAACCAACAAAAATTCAGACAGAGGAAATGAAAGAACTTCTTCAGGTTCCAAACAAAATTGATAAAGTAAAACCAACACCAAGATGTATGTAAGAAATATTAAATTCCAAATAAAAACAAAGCTTCTTATTACTTCCTAAGGCCTCAGCTATTGGGTC